GTGGCGAGGAGCGGCGGGGAGGGATTTCTTCCACCTTTGAGGGCTTCATTTTGTAGGAGAGGAAGGTGCATAAATTAGCAGGAATTACCGAGCTGTTAAATTGTGCTCCTTTGTGAAATATGTTTATTTTGTAGCCAAATGATGACTCTCTTGCTGGCTTCTTTGCCGCTGCAGAAAACTCTGCTTTGTCACATAAAGGTTATCATAACCTTATTAATTGCTGGGTAATTTATATAGGTTATGCCTGATATGTAGGGAGGGTCGATCCTTCCTGTAGGGGTCCAGAGCCCCTCTGGGCTGGCAAGGTTGGGGAGGATGGAGGTTTCGGCATACTCGGTCCAACCCAGAGCCCCTGGCTCAAACCCTGCGGCTGAACTCTGCGGGACTGTTGACTCCCCATTACTGGAGGCTTTCAATCCCCTTCCAAGATGCAAAGCCTCCAGCAGTCTTCACTCCTCATGGCTTACCTTGGCAGCCCAAAAAAACCACCTTCCTGGGGAGCACCCAGCAGAGCCCTGCCCAGACCCACTGGAGCTGCTGCTGCTCAGATGAGCAGCAAAATCTCGGTGTTAGCTGTCTTCAGGGGACGTGCTGCAAAGGTTGCCAGCAAGTGCTGTGTCCTGCCATGAGGGGAAAACAGGGTTTTGTTGAACCTCGGAAATAAATAAATTGATTGCTGAGCCTCACCCCCGGCTGGGTAGGGCTGTGTCACACGGGATCGATGATGGGCCAGAGAAACAGTCCAGATGCGCGTTGCAAAAGTAAAGCCATTGCAGGTGGCTGAAAAGAGCATACCGTAATTGCTTGAAAAGCCTTGCTTTCGAGGTCATCATGTCCCTTCTAGAGGGAGGAAGAGCTGGGGAGCAGAGGCCAGGCAGTGGGGCGTTCATCTCGTGGGCTTCGCTTTGAGCTTCAAATTGCTCATGGTGGGCTTGTCCCAGACCCCCGGGAGCTGCTCGGGCTCAGCTCCGGCACCTTTCATCCCCTGGGTAACAGCCCTGTGCTTGCTGGGCTCTGGCAGACAGGGAGAAGCCGAAGGAGCAGAAGGGACAGAAGCCCTCCACCGTTTCCCCAGCAGTCCGCCTTGCTGATGGCAGCAGATGCGGGCAGGGAAGATGCAATTAAATATAATATAGGATATTGGCCCAGCCTGCCAGCAGATGCCCACGAGATCCATTTAGTGGTGGACTTTTCAACCCCAGGAGTGATAATGTGGAAGAAAACGTTGGGTTAATTTGAAAATAGGTCAATAGGATGTAAAGATAACCCCGCAGTCATCTGATTCCAGAGAGCCTGCTCTGCACTTGGGAAGGGAAGGCGTCCCCTGGTTGATTAAAGTACCTATAAGGGGAAAATAGGAGGACAAGAAGCTGCTGTAGATTTATTCTGGAGTAGGCACAGCTGGTGGAGGCAGCTGGCGGAGAGGCAAGCTAGGCGCCTGCGTCCGCTTGGATCGAAGCCGCTTCGGCTGCTCCCTCCTGAAGAGCTAATCCTGGATGTCGGGATGGGACAAACTACCAGTTCACCTGCTGGGGCTCCGGAGCGGCTGAGCCCAGGCGCGAGCCAGTGGCCATCCTTGGCTGATCTAGGAGGGCAGGTTTCTCCAGGAGCTGGGATCGAGCGGTTTTCAGAAACAAATCTCTTGGCTGCGCTGGCTGAGAAGAAGGCTTTTGCGCTCATCAATTTTATTTGCGTAATTTCAAGCGCCATTAATAGTACATGGCACGAGGAAAAATCAGGGAAATTTTGCTCCAACCATGAGTGAAATTGGGTTTAGTAGAAAATTAGTTGACTTAACTGGCAAATGATGAAAGCTTGAATAAAGAATGTTTAAATAAGGAGGAATGAAAAAAAACCCACCCCCACACCTCAGAGGTGCAGCCTGGATTTGCATGATTGGAATATTAAAGTCAGTGGTTATAAAGTGTTTAGGAAGGATAAGGGGGGTAAATGAGAGAGATGCTCTGCTTCAAAGGCACTGGTTCTGCTTTGAGGTCTGTTCCTGCCTCCCAGCCTTGGCGCTGGGGGTATAAATGGGCATGGCAAGTCCCGAATGTCGGAGAAGGGGCGCGTGGCAGATCCTGGTGACGAGGGGGAGTCGGGGGAGCCAGACCTGCTCTGCTTAACCAGTGCAAAGTTTTCTGGAGGCTTCAGTATGGGATACACTAATTGCTGCCTCCTGCCGCCCCTTGTCAAGCTTGGTTAGAGCTTTTAAAAATTACGGATGATTTTGTAACACAGTGGCTTGCGTGATGCCTACCAGCGAGAGGATGATGCTGGAAGAGAAGCATTATGATTTTGGGGTTTTTAGTTAAATACAAGGTTTATGGATCAGCTTTAGTCAAAGTTCAGGGGTGGTTTGAGGAGCACCCGGAGGAGCAGAGCATAAGGAGCTGCCCGGCTCGGGGGGTCAGCAGA